CACAGCACAGCCCTGTCCATCAGAAGAGGGCATCTGTTCTTTCCCTTCTGTAGTTTAATTTTCACTTAGGGGGAAATTCTAGGTGATCGGAAGGGTCACCAAAACTAGTATCCCCATTGGAAGATGTGCCATCTATTCCTGTTCTGATGACAACCCAAAGTTTTCATTCACTTTTAGTGATTATGGTCACCAGGACAAATAGTGAGGGTGAATCTCCCAAAGGGGGACACAGTCAGCAATGAAAACCTGATATTCAACATCCTGTGCCACAGCATCATCCAAAATTTGTGTAGTAATAGCAATAAAAACCTGACAGTTATAATCCATCTCCACTCCAAAACTAGCTTGGCTTCAGTTGCACTTTCACATAAAACAGAAGGGGAAAGCTGAGAACAATTTTTCAGCGAGTAAAAATGTAAGCAGCTATTTTTAAAAAAATGTTCTGCATGTAAATGTAATGCAATGTGAATGAGAACATGTAACAAACATAAAGTATTTGGCTACAAATATGGAAATACAGAGGTGACACCAAACTTTACAAAAACCCTCATTTTAGTTACCAGCATGGCAGCCACTACTGTTGGCAAATAATGGACGCATTGTAAACTAATCTGAAACAAGCACACAGATATTATTTTATGATCAATGTTACGTGGTTCATTAATTTTTTCTGGAAACAGTAATGTGCATTTCCAAGTGAGAAAGACAAATCTAATACTGAAGAGCCATGAATTCTGAACACATAAAGGCTAGATGTATGCAACTAAATGGTCGGGGTCACTTCATATCATGAAATTAAGTTTGTAAGACACAGTCTGATGTGTACTTGTGTCTGCCTTGGATCTTACTTTATTTGTTCTCAAACCTTTCTCTGAATAACAAGCAAAATAATGAGGATCTTGCATGTCAGGCAATGGATTATTAAAGCATAATGTGTTTGTCATATAACCTTGTCTGAGTAGCTGCTACTGTTAAAGTAGTTTCCCCCCATACCTAATAGTTATTGCAAGTCATGTTTAAAAGAGAACTATGGCCAAAACATTTTATGGGGCATAGTTCTCTTTTGGGTATTAGTAAATGTCCTATTGTGACCCAAAACTCAGCAACTAGTGAGCTGTCGATGCCAGGAAAGATCCAAACAATATTGTCGGGATCACCATGCTACCTGATTTACAGCTGGCTCTGCCTTTCTAGAGCCAGAGCCAGCTGTGCCCCCCCCCCCTCTCCCCGTCTGTCCCTCCAGTCAGCACTGAAGGAATGGAGAGGGGAGGAAGGAATCCCAGCAGGGAGCAATAACTGACAGTGGTCAGAGAAGAAGCTAGTGAAGACATTTAAAAAACTAAAATGGCATACAAAAAAAAACCACAACAATATTTTTAAAGCCCTCCATCCCCACGTACATGCACATACAAACACAAAAACATGTGTTAGGTGTTCCACGCATTGGGTGTGGATATGCAAAATCGATGATTGCCCCACACATGTTGCATTTCGATGCGAATGTTGGAGTGAGAGTCAAAACTGAGTGCTACCGTGTTTCCCCGAAAATAAGACACTGTCTTATTTTCAAGGTAGGTCTTATTTATTTTTTTAATGTACAACAATCCAAAATTAATGCAAATCCAAATTAAATAATCCAAAATGGAAAAGTCAAGAATATGGTGATCAGGGCAATCAGGAGTGACGTCCCTTTCCAAGAGCAATTTGTTAACCAATTGCTGGCCAGAATGAGTGAAGCGTGCTTTCACTATCGATTCCTCACAGGCGGATTGTATTTGGTATCACTCCGCCTGTGACAGGAGCTGCCGCCTCGCTTCCTCTAGCGCTGGCTTCGTTGGCACAGCCGATTCTCTCCTGCGGCTCTTCAAGTTCCCCCTTATGCCACCACCGGCCCTGGGAAAGGTCACAACTAGGTCTTATTTTCGGGGTAGGTCTTATCTTTTAGCAATTCCAAAAATTAGTACTAGGTCTTATTATCGGGGTAGGTCTTATTTTCAGGGAAACAGGGTATCAGTCACTGTTAATCCTAAATTGATGTGTGTTAAAGGCTTTTAAAGTCTTGTCTATGAGCAAATTTGGGTACTGTAGCTTTTTGCCATTTTCAAAGTTTTTTGCAATGTTAAGTTTTGGCATGTTCATTATCTACACTAATTGGCCAAAAAAAGAAGTCACCACCTGGATTTAACCTGTGAAATTCCTATTAGGAAAAATCTTGCGCTAATAAATATATAAAAAAGAAAACTTTTTTCCACACCAGTTAATAGCTTAAAAGTGAACAACACTAACACTCTATTAACATATACCAAAAACAAAGTATGAAAACACTTTGGATTTAGCTAAGCAAATAGTTATGAATCTTCCACTGGATAAGCGTTATGATCTGGGGTTGCTTCAGTTGGTAGGTCTAGGTTCAGCAACGTTATATCCCCAAAAAGGGGGACAGGTCAGCTGCCTAGCTGAATATACTGAATGACCAGGTTTTTCCATCAATGGATTTTTTCTTTCCTGATGCCACATTGGGTATATTCCCAACTCTGGCCCCGAAGTGGTAGGCCATGTAAGATGACAGAGCGGGGTCAATGCATGCTGAAGCGCACAGTGCGAAGAAATTGCAACTGCCTGCAGAGTCAATAGCTACAGACCTCCAAACTTCTTGTGGCCTTCAGATTGGCACAACAACAGTGCGTAGAGAGCTTCATGGAATGGGTTTCCATGGCCGAGCAGCTGCATCCAAGCCTTACATCACCTAGTGCAATGCAAAGCGTCGGATGCAGTGGTGTAAAGCACGCCTCCACTGGACTCTAGAGAAGTGGAGACGTGTTCTCTGGAGTGACGAACACTACGGACTAAGACTGGGATGCCATTAAAGTTCATGTGCGTATAAAGGCAGGTGTCCCAATACTTTTGGTAATATAGTGTATATCTTGCATGAAATAAGGGTTTCTTATAAAATGCATGGGGCGGTCCAAACCAATAAAGAACAACTAAAAACTTTTCCCGGCGCCTCTGAAATACTATTGTTTTTTTTTGTACACAGAGAATCAGAGTGGAAATCTCCAATGTTCATTAGCGGTGACGACAGAGCACGTTGAAGATAACGTACAACTGTCATTTCGGACCCTTCCAAAGCCAGGTATGCCTTTGTGTAAAAGCAATATAAAGAATCATTTATTTCCTATGTTTTCATAACCTCTTCTGTCCAATTACTTTTATCGTTTTATACTCAATGTATTTTATATGATGCTCTATGTCTGCCCCAGGATGCTCTTTTCAACCACCGTTCTAGTTCAGGTGCAATATCACTGTAAAAATATGGACAGGATTACTTTTATTGGTTGTTTTAAATAAATATGGACACAAGTCAGCTGAAAGTGAGACAAAACCTTCCGCAACGTCTCTGTTTTCCATTATCAAAGGCATCCTTGTGTCTGTGTCATTATAGCCAGTTGCCACGGCAACCCGAATGTGTAATAAAATTGGTATTTATTTTGCTGGTGAGACTAAGCATGTCTTCGGATTGTAAACTCGGAATATGGTATGTTTTATGTTGGAAGACAGTCAATCCCTTTTATGTTGGCACATATACTTTAACAATTTTGTAAGGCCCATGTTTTCCAGTTCTTTGATTTTTTTCTTTTTTTTCTTAATGATTCAGATGTACAGCCATAAATTATATAAATATCACTCCGTAAAGACGCCCAGTGCAACCGGTCAATTATCATAGAAAACATATACAGCCGTAAAAGTCTTTGAATCCTTTAGAATTATCTGAATTAATTGCACCTGAAGTAATGATCAGATCTTTATATACAGACAAAGAAGAGACTGAAATCAAATTGATGGGAGTTTAAAGGAAAAGTTGCTTGGGACTCCTCCTTGTTGTAAAGTAGCTTGGGACTCCTCCTTGTAGTAAAGTTGCTTGGGACTCCTCCTTGTAAAAAGTTGCTTGGGACTCCTGCCTGTAGTAACAAGGTGGAGTATTCATCTGCATATGAAACTGCAGGTCTGTGCAAATGGAGGTAATGATGAATGGTATTAGTACAGCACATTTTCTTTCCAGGTTGAATGTAATAGGAAAATGCTACATTATGGCCACTAGATGAAGCTGAGAAGCATAAGAAATGAGTGCTTCTTTCCTGTGCTCTTCAGCTCCATCTAGTGGCCATAATATGTTTTTTTCCTGATATTACATGCAACTAATATACATGCAACATTTGTTTTTGCCTCCATTCATAAAAAAGTTCATGCATTTTCGCTAAGTCATTAGAAATCCAAAAATTTACAGCTGCCACCAGAACAGAAGGTGAGGGTAAATCTACCAATGGGTACATCAGTTCCAACGACAACTGTTTAAGAGAGGAATTCTCCTCATTTGTAGATTTTTTTTTCTTTCACTGTCTGTTGAATTTTGCTGTTGAGTCCCCAGAGGGACTCAACAGCAAAATATGTAAACTGACAGAGGTTTTTACCCTTCTCTGTTCTATTTAAAGGTACAAAGGTTTGGGGTTTTCGTAAACTTTAAACCTTTTTTTCTTCACTGGTGAGGTTCTTGGTAGTTGCAGTGAGGCTGATTTTCTAATGGAGTTGAGGATTTTCACACAATATTCACTTAAATTATCCAAGCATGTGCAAATGAAATAAGTAAACACAATAAGTATTTTCACATAATTGGATAATTGAAGTGAATATTCACACATTTTATGGTGTAAAGATTCTCAACTTCTTCAGTGAAACAGCCTCAGTATGCACGGGTCAAACCACACTCCTTTAATCTGCACATCCTTAAAGGAGAACTATGAGGTGAGTGAAAATCACTAATCCTCAAAGTTCGAGCCGATGAATGAAAACTGTCACACGTCGCCTCAATAGATCGGGAAGTGAGCGAATGCATACAGTCGCTCGCTCACTTCTCGATCATCTCCCTGCAGTGAGCGGTAACTGTCAGTCACCGGTCCCCGCAGGGATTCCCCCCTCCCCGCTCCGATCTTCCAGCACTCAGTGGAGGAAAGGATGGGGAGGGGCGGGTACAGCTGGATCTGCCTCTAGATAGGCAAAGCCTGCTGTCATTCAGGCAGCTGGGTTGATTTTGACAGCATTGGTGGGATCCGTCCCAGCTGCGGCAGTCTCAGTATACCACAAGCTGTATCTCACGATATACTGAGCTTTGGGTCATGGAAGGAGGTTAGTATATGTCCTCCCGTGACTCTTAAGAGAACTATGGGGGAAAACACTTACCCCATAGTTCTCTTTTAAGTACATTGTAGCAATAACATTGTTCCAACCTATTTATCAATGAAGACTGCAAATAGTGCTGTCTGCATTGCTGTCAAAACTAACAGCCAGTGCTGATGATTTTGCAGTGCAGCAGCCACATCAGGGAAGGAGAGGCGCAAGCCCTGGTTAAACAAGGTATGCACAAGATACTTGGATAAAGGTTTTTGGGGTGTACGATGCATACTTGAGGTCCACAATTGGTAATATGTAGCTAGCAAAGGGTTACCTGGGTGTTGTCTGGGGTCAGTTTGAGGTAGCACATGTGTCACCTTTTGTACTGTGAAAGAACCTTGTATCATGCCACCACTGAAAACTTCTCAGTGTGCCTTAGATCCCATTAACACTTGTTGTGCATGTGAATGTGCAACAAAGTGTTCATATTGGTGTGTGCTCACACAACACGGAAAAAATGGGTGACAAGTTTTTGGCGCCAATATTTGTCACGTTAGGCCTAAACACGGTAGGCAAAACCCATGTCTTTGCCCAGGCTTTGAAGCATGACAAATGTGCAAAAATGTGTGAAGTTCACAGTGCTGCATGTCACTTTTTCTTTGTCACTTTTTTGCGCATATGGTAGCCCATTAAAATGAATAGGTTGGTGAGTTGCAAATGCGGTGCGCATGAACACGTGCTGCATTTATGGGTGTTTTGCTGCGTTTGCAACTGTGCGTGTGAACAGGGCCTTGTGGTAAAAATTACCATCTGCCACAGACAGATACAAAAGATAAAGTTACAAAATCACAGAAATAACAGCACTTACATTTCCACTCAGAATAATCTAAAAAACAAGATAAAGATACATTAATGGCAAATCAGATCCAGAAAAAGTTTTCATCCATCACACCTTAAGGTAGCCATATACGTGTCTATTTATCTTGTTCAGCCCATGAACATCAAAAGATTCCCATTATGAATGGAGGAATATCCAGTCCCGGCTACGGTATTTAGACAGCTCGCACATGCGGCTGGCCAAATACCAGTACAATGACTGCATCTGACTGGATGAAGTCGCTGGTCCGCCGACAATTTGTGGCACCCCCCTTTAAACAAAAAGTCAATTTAAGCCGAGTTGGAGACAAAAGAGCCACCCACGGCTTGAATTTTAACAGAGCCAGCAGGAACGGGCCGGAATTTGGGCCATGTATGGCCAGATTTATTGAGACAATTACTTGTCCACATTTTGATGTTCTTTGTTATCGAGCTATCAGAATGCAAAAGCAGAGCCCACATACCGTGAGATAATTTACAGTATACAATTACACAGACAAGCCAGTCCTTGTAATCACTACAGGAAGGAACAACCGCTTGCATTTTGCAATGCACTGAAGCCTGAAAAGTCACCACTAGTCTACAATAGCCGGGCTCACACAGGAACCGCTCTTCTGTCTTATGTTCCGCAAGAAATGTTTTATTTTAACTGCTGAAAGGATAACCTTCTGGGAAAGTAATAAAGTGAAATCATTTTTGCTTCTGAGGAATTACACACATAACTGCAAATATTAAAATCTGGAACATGGTTGCTGGTAATTATGTAAACTGATAATCTAATTTAAAGAGGACCATTCATGATAAGGTTGATGCTGGAATCAGAATATTCACTTTTGACAGATTTATATTTCCCTTGTTTGGCTTTACTTACTATGTCCAAGCCTGTCACTGGAGCTGGAGTGTCAGGGGGTCAGATGTCACCTTCCAGTCAACTCCATGACCACATGCGGTACATATAGAGGCCGAGGCACAAAGGATGATTGACTAAAGACAAGGTTGCACCTATGTCTGTATGGACAGCATGCTAATACAGGGTCACTATAAAACCATGATATGCCATTACGCTGAAAAAATAGTTTATTGCTCAAGTTTAAGCTGACTTTAATGTGACACAAAAGTCAGGCGATAAACCTTAAAAATGCATTCAAGTACCTTAACTATAAACAAAATTGTATCTTATTTGTGTATCACTCGGCTGTAGATCCTCAAATCATCTCTGAATTGGTGCTGACACTGTCCTTCCTTCTGGAGGGTGGCTACTTGTGTTCCCCATGGTCACCCAGAGGCAGAGGCATGATGGGATTTGTATTTTCGCCACAGCTGGAGTGCTGAGGCTGTTTACCCCTGCTATAGACATAAGATGACAGTCGCTTGATCCCAACGGTTTTGTCTGGATCAGAAGATTATATCCTGTCTATGGAGCAGCCCTTAGAGAATGCAACCTACTAAAAACTGTCTTTGAAATAGAAATGCAAAGTTCTTATGTTGTAGAGCAGAAATATATTGCAGGTTTTTTTTTCGCTTACTTTTCTTATAAACTTTTGTAAGCAATGCACTTATAATTCAATGCGCCTGAAATATATAGGCCCGTTCTCCGCCTGTAACTTGATAATCGTTCCCCATCTGTATTATCATACATCTCCAGATCGGCAACCATTGACGTTCCTCTCTGCTTGCCTGCTTTGGGATGTTTAACAATTATCCTGGGGAAGAGGCGCTCTTTATAATTGCTTATGCCATTCAGCGGTGCAGTGAACTATGGATCGGGTGTCAGAGAGACCATTTTCAGCTTTCTTTGATGAAAGCGAGATTAGTGGAGTGGGTGAGACAAATAATGCTGACAATATCTCAGCGGGGGTGATTATCACAACTGTAATAAACATTACCAAATACATTCAGCTGCAGCAGAGATGTTGGTATTAAGTGTAAAGTGGGGTGTGACAATATGAAGGTTAAAAAGAATTATGGTTATGTGGGAACAGTGACATTGATGAATGAATGCTTTTTCAATAGACCATTGCTTTAACAATGAACTCCTGGAAGTACAAATACAAAGGTCTGCCAAAGGTAAATGCATTCTATTAAAACAGAATTCCAAATCACCCCCCTTCAAACATACACATACACTATATTGTCAAAAGTATTGGGACGCCTGCCTTTACACGCACATGAAATTTAATGGCATCCCAGTCTTAGTCCGTAGGGTTCAATATTGAGTTGGCCCACCCTGTGCAGCTATAACAGCTTCAACTCTTCTGGGCAGGCGTCCACAAGGTTTAGGAGTGTGTCTATGGGAATGTTTGACCATTCTTCCCAAAGCGCATTTGTGAGGTCAGGTACTGATGTTGGAGGAGAAGGCCTGGCTCGCAGTCTCCGCTCTAATTCATCCCAAAGGCGTTCTGTCGGGTTGAGGTCAGGACTCTGTGCAGGCCAGTCAAGTTCCTCCACCACAAACTCGCTCATCCATGTCTTCATGCACCTTGCTGCACCGGTGCGCAGTCATGTTGGAACTGGAAGGGGCCATCTCCAAACTGTTCCCACAAAGTTGGGAACATGAAATTGTCCAAAATGTCTTGGTATGTTGATGCCTTAAGAGTTCCCTTCACTGGAACTAAGGGGCCAAGCCCAACCCCTGAAAAACAACCCCACACCATAATCTCCCCTCCACCAAACTTTACACTTGGCACATTGCAGTCAGCCAAGTACTGTTTTCCTGGCAACCGCCAAACCCAGACACGTCCATCGGATTGCCAGACAGAGAAGCGTGATTCGTCACTCCAGAGAACACCTCTCCACTTCTCTAGAGTCCAGTGGCGGCGTGCTTTACACCACTGCATCCAACGCTTTGCATTGCACTTGGTGATGTAAGGCTTGGATACAACCGCTTGGCCATGGAAACCCATTCCATGAAGCTCTCTACGCACTGTTGTGCCAATCTGAAGGCCACACAAACTTTGGAGGTCTGTAGGTATTGACTCTGCAGAGAGTTGGCGACTTCTGCGCACTGTGCGCTTCAGTATCCACTCTGTCATTTTACGTGGCCTACCACTTCGTGGCTGAGTTGCTGATGTACCCAGTTGCTTCCACTTTGTTATAATACCACTAACAGTTGGTACTATACTAACAGAGGTGATTGGAACATCTGAATCCAATGATTTGGAGGGGTGTCCCAATACTTTTGGCAATACAGTGTATGTGTTTTTTAAAAAGGTTCCCAGTACACATATCTGAAAAAGCGAGATTTGCTGTTATATTGAACATTTAGAATACTTATGTCCATGTATACCCTGTAAAATGAACTTTTGCCCTAAAATCCTATTGGTATTTATCAGTGCACTTCCTATTATGTGAGTGTGCCTATTCACTCCTATGTCTACAGCATCCTAGCTGTATATCTTCAGTGTGAGATTTAAGGCACTGCTACCTCTTAGACTAAAAACACAAAATGCACAGGTCACCCCTGTCATGCATCCTTGTAATCCACATTTGGTGCATGGATAACCCTCTTCTACAGATATTGTCTCAAAAACGGCAAAAACGGCAAACAATGCTCTTCCAAAGAAAATCAATTTTATTCCACATGCATCTCTACAAAAAAAAACAACCACTGACACGTTTCTGCCTTACTCGGCCTTAGTCATAGCAGTCATAACTAGTTTAGGGTGATTTGGAGTGAGGTTTAGTAATTCCAATACTATGTTGTTAAATGTTCTCCTTGCTGGAGGTTTTGACATGAAGATACAAAACCCTGCCTCTAGTCCAGAACAATATATAGTAGGGCAATAGTAAAAAGATCAGCTGCAGGGAGACCACAGGCAATATTGATGACTGGTACTTTGACCTCTGCCAGTGTTTTTTGGGCACAGCTTCCAGAATTCAGTTCCTCTACAGAAGCCTTCAACTCAGTTACATAATGCTACGGGGTCCCTCTCCATTATCTTCAGCATCAGCAGTCCTTTCTGGCACTTAGATCGCTCCATTTGTTATGGTGTGTTAGCCCTGGTCTATGTCGTGTTCCATTGTGACCCCAGGCTGTGTACTGACACATCTCCGGGGAGGTGTAATTGACAAAATAGGCTCACAGAAGTGGCCTAAAGGATGCTCAGCTTTGGTGTCAGTTCCTGGCAATCCCCTGGAGTGTGCCACGCCCCGTAGGAAGTCTTGGAGATGTAACATGTAGGGTGGAGCCTAGCAATGCGATTCCTGAAAGTAGAGAGCTATACGAGCAGTGAAAGCACTCGCCTGTTTACATTTCAACTTGCTCCCAGTTGTCCGAAGTCAGTTCATCTTGATTGAGGATTCTTTTTTCATATCATGCAAACAAGTTTGTGAATCTACACCTAAAGGAAAAAGGTCACTCCTTTGAAGACAGTCAAGTACGCATCCTAGACAGAGGAGGAGGACTGGTTTAAAAGAGGTGTGAAAGAGGCCATTTATTTAAAAATGGAGAAGCCAAGCTTGAATAGAGGTGAGAGGGTGAGACATCTATTGTCTGCCATATATAATGCTGTTTTAACACCTCTCTCTGTGCTGGTTATTAACACCACCTAGCTCCAATTATGAAATGGAATCAACACCTGGTTGTGACTAACAGATTATGTGGATTAGAGCAACATTCACCATATTTATTCCCAGATAATTTTTTGTACAAGCCATTCTGAATTGGGAAAGCTGGTCGGATGTCCAGTGAAACGTCTTCAAGAAAAATACAGCAAGTCCAGTTGCCTTGACTTATTTTTTACAGATATACCATGACATTGATGAATGAGAACCTTCACAGACAAGATTATGTGTAGCTGGGATCAAGGATTTGTTTCACTGGATTAAGATACTCAGCACTAACGGTGAAAATCACTTTGAGATCATACCACAGTGAAGGTGGCTTATTGATAGGAAGACTTATTGAACACACTGTTTGGTTTGATGTTACAATGTCAAAGGCTTAAGACACATTGTTTATTCTATTATTGAGATACTGTGTTGGTTGACACATTGTTATTGATTTGTTTTATACATATTGTAATGAGTTTCTTATTGATATGTAAATAGTGCTACACTGGTAGTATATTTTATATTGTGTGTGGTTTCACATTTAGGTGTTAGCTGTTGATTAGTTTAGTTTTAATGTTAGTTACAGATAGATTAGTGCAGAAAAATATAAATAATGCCGTTATAGTCTGCTACCAATGTGAACATGAAATTGTTAGTTTGGTCCTTCTCTCCTTGAGGTTGGAAGATTGGTTAGAAGACCTTCAAGAGCAAGGTGCACTCATCATAGTCTTCTGTAGAGGTCATACTTCAGATTGATATTGTTTATGGCCACCAACAGTGAGGTAAACATCCTTGGACCACGCCGTGTACACCATGTTATATAGGGGTTGTTTTTGCTTTCTTCTGGATCACCTGTGGATAACTGTGAGCATATGGGCACGGCTTTCTGTTTTGTTTTTTCTTCTTTCTTTTTTTTTTTCTTTTTTCTCTTATCTCTATAGGCTGAACCCAATGGACGTGTGTCTTTTTTCGACCCGAATAACTATGTAACTGTTTAACTAACTATACTTATTATTTTAGGAAAATAGCTTATTGCTGCTCCAAAAAAATAATAATGGGGTTATTCACAAAACTAGCCGAAGGATCAGCCGTAGCTTCAGCTGATCCTTCAGCTCTCTTCGGCCGGAGCAAACCGAAGGGCTGCTGTACGGGCTATTTACTATAGCCCGTACAGCAGCCGAAGGCGGCCAAGCGGCTCAGCCAAGCCGAAGCCATATGCTTCGGCTCGACTGAGCCGAAGTGACAGTCAAAACAGGCCAAACGCCTCGCAGATGACAGCTGGGTGGAGCCAGCCTTGATCTCAAGGTTTCCTCCGCCCCAGTTGAAAAGACAGATCAAATGACCTGGGGATGCCTAACTGTCATTAAACAATGACAACTGAGCGCAGCCGGTCATGACATCACGTGCAGCTCCGCCCAGTTCTTATTCATTTGCCGGGAGCTACTAGAAGACTCTAGCAGGTCCCGGCCAATAGGCAAAAGTTTGGCGGAGCTAGTTGTCACTGCTAGCTCCACCCAATTGTTTATTTATTTTTTATGTTGGAATGGCTAAGACCTTCTGAACTTCAGCTCGGCCAAACATGCAGAGCATATTTGGCTGACCAAAGTGCAGCCGGAGCTAGCCGATGTACGGCTGATTTCAGCCGATGTACGGTTGAAATCAGCCGTACAAGTCTGAAGTGAATAGCCGAACAGTGTTCGGCTCACTTCACTTCGGGCGGGTTATTCACTCAGCTGCCTTCGGCCGCCGTGTGAATAACCCTGTAAGTATCCTTATGTAGTCTATGAATCTACTGAATAATGGAACATTCTCTACTACTCTGTAGGTATGATATCTGCACCAGGTCTCCAACCTGCATCCACCATTGCAATGCAATATCAGTCTTGAGAATGAGAATACACTTTTTGTAACCGGCGTAGAGAGTCTCTGTTGTAAATTTATACAGCCAGGAACTCTGGCAGGGTGATCTTTGAGAATTAGCCAGTGGGTGATTTGGGCCGTCAGTGTCAGCTTGTAACTGAAATATTGGTTTTTGCCAGCGGGGCTATTAAAACTACCCATTAAGAATAATTTTTTTTTTGGCTAACCAGATAAAACCACCAAGCAATACAAAACTGCAGTACGGAAGAGAAAATGTTACCATGCACAGCACTGTTCAGCTTGTCAATGAAATATGACAGCTTTTGTTGAAGAAAAAAACAGCAGACCGTGCAAAGCTATTTATCATGCATATTTTAAAAAGACAATTCTGGCAGTTATTATATTGATGGAAAATACCAGAAACGACATGAGGACATTTGGTCTAGCAGAGTCATTTTGGAACAGAATTATATAATTGCCTTTCGGAACACATTAATCACAATTCATACATCCAATTGCGAATGTGTTATTCTTAAATGCTAGTTTTGAAATCATTCCAGGACAGGTAATTGCATAGTTTTACCTGGCAGTGCGCCATTCACAGTGTTTTTGAATGGCCTACATTTATACTGTGTTCCCTTTTCTCTTTACAGGAAGTTTTGGTTAGAAGAGGTGCTGTGTCAGTTTACATTTTCTTTTTTTCTTTTTTTCCATAATAATATTTATTGAAGTCAAAAGAGATACAACAATAACAGTAAGATCAAATTGCTGTACAGTGTGTAGATTGATATGGCAGGAGAGGGTGGAGCTGAAGGAACTACTGTACAGCTCCAGATGTTACATTCACAAAAAATAATATGAAGATAGGCAAATAAAATGAAACAATCAGCATGTATATCTAGGCCAATAACTGTTTTGATATAAGAGAAAGCCAAATTAAATTAGTAGGTGAATACTCGAAGAGCGTAAATGTCTATACAATTGTTATGGTGAAGTTAGGGAGTCCAGGTATCAAGAAACAAAAAACAAAGTTGAAGAAGTGTAGGGGAGAAAGTGTGTAGGAGGAGAGAGAGAGAGTAAACAAGAAGCAGTTTACATCTTATAAGGGTACCTGTACCCCTGTATGTTGCGGTCTCTGAGGAAGTTGTCCAAATTCTTTTTGAATGATTCAACACTCTCAGCTGATACTACTGCTTGTGGCAGCGAGTTCCAGACCCTAACCGCTCTAACTGAGAAAAAGCCCCTACCCCCTTGTGGTTAAATCTTTTCTCCACCAGTTTTAGGTGGTGGCCTCTAGTCCATGTTATGGAGTTTATAGTAAAGAGTTTGTTGCTGATGTTGCTATCACCATTGAACATCTTGTATATCAAAATAGAATGATAAACATTCGCTTGCACAGAGATTACAAAATCTCTGTATGCGATAAGAAGCGACTTTAAAGTATGTATGCATTAGTTATCTCTAATAAACCTACATGCCAAATAGTCTTTGCGCTTTTGCTACATGCTTCAACTGGCCACATCACTTGCAGCTATAGAGCCGTGTATGGCTCTGTACACATGGGTGTAACAAGGACCGCTCGATGTCCATGAACACCCTGGAAACACCACACATGAAATACTGTATTAAGCAGATTGCCTCAATACACACAGGAGCTTAACAAAGTATTTGTTTTGCTTAAGTCTAGGCTGTATTCTCTGGAACAGTGCCGGCAGCATCACAGTTATTTTTTCATATTGGCATGTCAGTTTAAATACATTTCTGTACCCAATGATAAACGGGTCTTATCAATCCTAATGTCGCTTCTTGGCACTCTTTCCACATTTTAGTTATGGTTACACTGGTCTTTTTCCAAATAAGTGTCCTTTTTGGGATGTTGTAAAACAACTACAAAACACCACACTTTTATTTTCTTTGATTAAGGAGGGCATTCATAATGGAGAGTGGATATTGATATCCTCCCTCTGCTATATATTGCAAGGTTAGTTCACACTGCTTTTTTTTTTTCATTCATAAAGTCCAGACCAAGATGTAGATGTGTTCTGCTTAAAGCAGCACAAGGAACGCTCTGATTGAAGGAGAGGTTGGTCAAGGGACTTTGATGGGTCATGTGACTGGGCGCTCCTTTTTTTTTTTCTTTTTACACGCTCATTTATTTTAATATCACTCTGCCAGCTGTTGGCATAACCACCCCCACCAATAGGTTAAAAAAAGCTAGGTTTTGTTACATGGCTATATACCTAATCAGGCTGCTATGGATGTCAGCTTCTTCATAGTTTCAGTGCTGTCTTCAGGAAACCTACACTCACGAAAAGGCCCCTTTTACACTGACAGGTTCAAGCAACTTTGCCCAGGATCCCACTGCACACCAAGGCCATCAAGATGCCAGAGCTCCAGGTTATATGGCCCAGCACATGAGAAGGTGACCCTTTATACTACACCCCGCAGCAGTGGTAATCATTTCACAGGTCAATTACCCATTATCCCTAAATACAACCCACTCTCTTCATAGCCCAAAACAGGAGAATGTCCAGTCAGGTTTGGTGAAAAAGTGATTTAAAACTTTACTCCAGAAAATAATTCATGCTATGGACATTTCTGTGTCGAAAGCAACTGTCTTCATCTTCGTGGTAACAAAGTCCAGATCACAGGGTAAGCACTTCACTCCTTCAAAGTGTTCAGGTGCTTATTTAGTCTCTTCAGGGGGACACTTCTATCCTATTCTGCACAGGTGACACCCTCTTACTAACAGTGGGCATATTCTCCCAAAAGGGTTACTCACAGAGCGCTATGCAGTCCCAACTGTCCACTCACTCCACCAGGAGTCCTTGCTGCTAACTCCATGCTCAAATGCTCCCCTCCCAAAGGGCTTCACCATGGAAAAGTCCAGCTCCCCCAGAAGGTGTGCCTCCCTAACGCAAGGGGAGACTGCTGGATTGCACTCTCCAACACAGGGGGTCACTTATGGTTCAGTCCTGAAGAATAGATATCAAATCGCCTCAAAAATGGTCTATATTAGACAATGGCTTCCCCATGATTGCGTCCAGAGCCCATTACAGAGGACACATTAGTCCTCTGCAGGGTTCCCCTTGTGTCCAGACCACAGTAATAGTCGTGTGACTGTTCTGTTTGTCCCTATGAGTGCAGTGATCACTGGGACACAGTCCCCCCAGTCACTCCCCAGAGAACTTCAAGAAAGCGGGCATTGGCAACAAAGCTGACACTCAACCTTCCATTGCAACAGCCTGTTTACTATGGGGGACCATAGGAAAGCAGAGCATGTGCAGCTGGAGAGCTCAACTTAGTTAATCTGTTGCTTTGTATTGGATGAAAAAAGTACAGATTTGCTGAAAGGGCCAATTCACACTAAAGAGTTCTGGTGCCTTAATGCACGTGCGTTAACGATTGCTACATTATTATAGCCCATTCGTTATGAATGGGCTTCCAAAGCACCACAGAAGATGAAAAAATGATCATTACCTTTTTTGAAATATAATTCAGCACACCACAATGCACAGTTCACAAGTGTGAATTGGCCCTCAGAAAAGATTTAGCAAAATGACAAAACCAAATATACATCTCTGTGTCTTGCAATACTAATTTGGATGTCTTCCTTGCTGCTATAATTGATTTCTGTGTCTAAAATAGCTCAAAAGTATTTAAGAAATAAGAAGAGTGTTTTGGTGCTGCTCGCACAGGCAGTCATTTCAGGAAAACACAATCAATGGTGGCGCTCTCATGCTTGCACAGTGTTCATGAAAAGGCTCTTTGCTTAGTGCAAGTCTGTAATTTCAGGTAGACACTTCTCTTTTCCCTACCTTGTTCTAAATTATATCTGCTGCTCCTCACATTACTTGCATTTGCTGACCTATTTCTGAACCGGTTGGTCAAAATACAAGCAGCTCTTTTTAAAGTGGCTGCGGGATGTGATTTTAGTAACAGACTTGAAAATGTCTTTTTGTCACAGGTAACATTCACGTTTCACTTAACTACACCTGATGATTTGGATAATATGGGACTCTGTGATTACTTCATTCACAGAGGGGCTCCTTGTGGACGTGGATACGTTTTAGTGTAGCGTCTAAACATCCTTTATGTATCAGACAAGGGAGCGTCTTCGTGTTAATAAAAGAGAACGTAGTCATTTTGCAAAGTGCTGAATCTTTAGTATGATTATAATTGCTGAGTATCTTATCGGTTTCCTCAAAATTGCCTTGAATTGAAGGTATCGGAGTGTAACCCAGCACATCGCTATTGGAAAATGGAAGTAAAAAAAAAAGTTAGAGATGGTCTACTAATGATAGCATTCAGCACATCAGACTTTCAAATGTAAAGTGTATATCAGTAAATGGGATCTACTGTGTATAACACATTTAAATATGGAACGGAAAAGCTGGAGGCATAAGCAGTAAAAAAAAGATAAATAAGACAACTTTTAGATCGTAAGCCCTCAGGGGCAGGGCCCTCCTTACCATCTTGTCTTGAATTGTATTGTGATTGTAATGTCTTCCCTATATTGTAAAGCGCTGCGCAAACGGTTGGCGCTATATAAATCCTGTATAATAATAATAATAATAATAATAACAATGAGCAACCACTGAGAAACATCTACTGTAGGTTTGTTGATAGCGCCACCAGGCATCACACTACAAGAACATTTTGCTCCAAATTGCCCCCTTGCCTCTGTTGGAAAGAGTTCCACTCCTCAGCACATGCACTCTACTATCCCCATGCCTGGTGAACACACTCGGATAGTTCACATTGGCTAGAGGACGCCCAGCCAATACAATGGTCGTATTATGGCTTTTTATACTTCTATAACTGTGTGAAAATTATTTATCTTTGGTCACAATGGACTCTTCAAGGGTCTGTGGAGACTTACTGGTAATTAACCCCTTTTATCATTTTGTTTATTTGCATGCCCTACATTAGTATTTCAGCTTTGTTCGAAAAGGTGGAGTCAGTCTTTAATTCCTATAAAATAAATGTTCTGTTTAAATAAATCAAGCAAAAGTAGGGTTTGGAGGGTTTCTAAAGAGGTAACAAGGCAAAGACCATGTATATATATAAAACATATGTCAATAGTTTATTGTACACACAACTCATAGTTTAAAAATGAATCCAGTAGGTAAAAACATTTACAGTCCATGCATGTAGATTTATGCAGTCAGGATAGTGGAGCTATCCTTCAGTTAGTTTCCAGATAATAGTCTGGCGTACTTCATCCCGACGCGTTTCGCCAATGGCTTCTTCAGGGGATCGGTGTATATATTGATCTAGCATTAGAAAGAGATTTTCTTGCATAGAATTATTCTCTCAATGTATGGTCACATAGGGCATATAGCAACATTGCACAGTGTATAGCTCCTAGAGCATTCCTTATATTGTAAATCCCAACATGGATGGACATCCCCATCGAAAGTGACCACCCGGCACTTCACCAGGCACGCAAGGTGCCCGGAGAGGACCGATGCTTTGAAAGAGCAAACATGTCACAGACCAAACACAAGGGGCTTCCAATTGAAATGTGTTGGTCCTTGTCTGGTTGATTATAATGAACCGGGGAACAACATATACATCTTGAATCATACATCTGGAGGGGCAGCTCCCATATGTTAGCTCCACCGGGTATCCCAGATACTCCTCCGTGTATGGCTCCGGGGTCCCAGGTATGACGAAGGACTGGGAATGGTGGCTAGATCTTTCTGGCCACCTTGTTCTTTCGGTCCTTTCAGCATCGGTACATGTGTAAAAGCATTGGGGTTCATGTGTAAAAGTTCTGCCCGCACGGCACTAGTGCCCTTAGATGCCATTGACGTGTATAGGGTTTTTACTTTACTGGTCAGCACCATCCAGGGGCACTAGTGCCTTACAAACATCATCTGTCCAACATAACTTTTATATTTTTGAGTAGTTGCAAAAAAAAATACCTGCCATTAATCACTAGCCATTAATCACTGTCATTAAAAACTGATTGGAGGTTTGTGGGAGAAGCTCTAGATTTATTAGTAATTCTCTTCTGTGAAGTGTCAACGTTCTTAGAGATACTGCTCCCACACAAAGCAAGGGGCACCTGATCCGCATAAGGGGTTTCAAGTGGAACCAAATAAAGAACATAAGGGGGCACCACTTTTGGTAGTAGAGTCCAATTTGGTTTTTCATTTATAAGGATCAATAGAACAAAAACAGACTATTGACCTTTATAAACAAATACTACCAGCAGTGGCGCCCCCTTTTGTTCTATAACCAGAAAATTATCTGACAGAGAGTAGCTCCTGAACATTGCTACTACACTGTGTGTTTTCACTCTGGAGAACAACAAACCTGAACAACCACTGGTCACAAACAGGTTACCATTTTACTGACACCTCTGATACTCTGCATATTGTTATTTCTAAGAATACAATCTTCATTTTGTAGCATCACCAACATGTGAAGATCTGCACAGCCGAGCCCAGAATTGACTCCTTTTGTCCCTGCCAAGCATAGAAATCACACAGTGTAAGAGATTGAGCCTTTCTGTTTTACTAAATAGCAGATGGAAACACTTCGGTAGGAACAAAGGAAGGTGAGTTACTTGGGATATTTCGAGCATGGGCTGCATTTAGCAGCACATTACTGACACTCACAAGCAAGCAGTCTGATTATAGTTTCATTATTAAAGGTATGTGTCAGCTTCATTAAATTCTAACACTTTCATTGTAAGTTGTAATATTTTTGCAATGAAATACAGATAATTTTCTACAAGCAAACGACAGTAAAAACATCAACCCGGTACCTTAGTGCATAACTTACCATTAGGTACAATATGGTTGTGCCTGGTTGTGTACAATGGGCAGAAGCTGAGAGGAGGCTTTTCCCTCGTAATTCTAAAAGTATATGTCAAATCCTTTATTTGTTCTCTTCTCTGTTAAATAAACTTTTGAATGCATTTTGTCGCATGTATTCGATTAGTGCAAAAAAATACAAGTGTTGGAACTTGCTGCTAGCCCCCCAAAACCACACACATTCCTTTGAACCTATCTCTACAATGGTCAGTCTCACTGGGAATGTGCACAAGTGTGCACAAGCTTCAGCAAGAAGTCAAATTGGCTGGGATTCCACCATGACAGGAAGGTTTAGGCAGCTTTTTTTTTTTTATTTTGATTGTTGTTACCAGAACAGTATTCCCATTGCAGGATTTTCCCTTACCTCTTGCTCTGATGACGACTCAAAGGGGTTGATTTACTAACCTTATAAACACACCACGAACGTGTATACACCTCTGCAGTGTGTTCCCTCCCAGCATGATCTATGGGTGGAATCTAAACACCTTTGTAATGTGTACACACCCAGCAGGTGTGTTGTGCAAAGCCCTGAAGGAATTTCAAGGTGATGTTGGGTAAATTAGCTCTATGTTGTGTTGCTTGCGTTGATGAATGCAGGAATGTAAATGCATGAGCTAACCATTTTTGTCTAAACTGTGAAGCAGCATTATATATGCATCATGTGCATGATTTTTCCATATATGGCATTAGTGGAAATATGCTTTTAGAGACTTTTTGGTTGATAAATACGTTTTGCTGTGTGAAAATCACACACACCTGGTGTGTGTGTGTGTGTTTAGGTTAGTAAATCACCCCCAAAATGTTTGTAATTCCCTTACTTTCTGTATCAATGACAAATGGTCACAGGACAAATAGAGAGAATTCAGCTGGCCATGATACACCAGTAGAATTGTATTCATAAAATTCCTTTTCAGAACTTTCATTAAATTTTTTAAGTTAACAGGGGCCAAATCGACTATCATTTTCAACCACAGTGACAAATGAAACCAAAGCTGCAGGATAGAAAAATGTTACTTGATTGTTAAAATCAAATGAAATTTTGAATGATATTGATCAAGTCTCTGATGGCATTATTAAATATTATGGTGAGATTTCTCGTATGAACGTTCTTACAAAAACCTACCAGTGTATGGCAAGACTAAAGTGACCCTTACAGAGTTAAACCTTAAAATTCATTTAATTATCTTCATTATTAACAAGAATGTATCCTATTTGTGTATCAGTCGGCTCATATTTGTGTATCATTTGGCTTGTAGATCCTCAAATCATCTCTGAATTGGTGCTGACACTGTCCTCCCTTCTGGAGGGTGGCTACTTTTGTTCCCCATGGTCCCTGTGTGTGTTGTAATGTAGCCACAGCTCCAAGCTCGCTCCCGTGACACTAAACTTAGGAGTTAAATCTTAAAAATGCATTCAAGTACATTACCTAATAACAAAACTGTACTTTATTTGTGTATTGCTCGGCTGTAGATCCTAAAATCATCTCTGAATTGGTGATGACACTGTACTTCCTTCTGGAGGGTGGCTACTTTTGTTCCCCATGGTCCCTGTGTGTGTTGTAAAGTAGTCACCGCTCCAAGCTCGCTCCCGTGATGGACTACAATCTCACGTTTAATTTACTTATTTGTATTGAGATTAAAGTCCATCACAGGAGTGAGCTTGGAGCGGTGACTACTTTACAACACACACAGGAACCATGGGGAACAAAAGTAGCCACCCTCCAGAATGAAGACAATGTCAGCACCAATTCAGAGATGATTTGAGGAACTACAGCCGAGTGATACACAAATAAGATAAATTATTTTTAATAGTTAAAGCGGACCTTTACCCCCT